CATCAGTTCTCAAAACTGATCCCTAAGAAACCCCACTGTTTACAGTGTTCTATTCAGCAGTGACTGCGGCTTGAATCTGTACATGAGTATCAGATAGTCTGGCTTCATTGGGTGCATCTACACATGCCCCTGACTAAGAAGTTGGCACTGCACACTCATGTAGTACCTGTGTTAGCAAGTACAGCAGTTGCCTTCCTTCACATAAGTTGCAGTTAAATTAATAAATGATTGGGCGATAGTTTCCCACGAGTTGATGTAAGTGTTGCATTTTTTCAAGTTGGCCTTGAGGACAACCTTGAAATGCTTTCTCTGTCCTCCTCTTGAGCATACGCTATGGCAATGTAGTGTCGGTAGGCATGAACTGTGACACCACAGGTACTGCACAGTAGGAATGAGCTACTGCACAGTAGCAGTGGTGTCATGGTTAGTGCCCACTACACTACATTGCTATAGCAATGAGCTATGTCACTGTAGCTTGTTGCTACAGCAATGTAGCATCTCATGTAGACACTCCCACTGTACACATACTGTAAGGCTGAGTGGGACATCTTCTTGCACAAAAACTAGTTGAAATAATTAAAATTATAAAGGCAAATGCTGGAAATGAGGTTGACAGTGCAACTTTACTTGGGCCCCAATCTGTAATTACATGATCTTCACTTACCACAGTTTCCCACAAAGCTCCTATGTCATACAGGACATAGGATCAATAGTGCTTACTTCATGAATAGATCCTCATTATTCAGTGAAGGATTGTTCGCCTCACTGATTGCCTGATATTCAAACCCTGATCAGAATACATGATCATGGATGTCCTTGTGGGCTTTTCTATAGTGATCATGATCACTGTAACTATGTGCATCACAATTATTCATTAGTTTAACTGCAACTTTTCTGTGAGGGAAGGCAGCAGCTGTATCATCCTTGTGCATGGAGAAAACAGAAGCATACAAAGAGTAAAGACCAAAGTGTCTGCTGACTTTTGGAAGCTTAATTTCCAAATGCCTAAGATCTTATCTTTCATAACATCAGGTAGCACTTTGCAGGTTTAAAGCATAATTTCATTTTGGATTTAGTGACAGCTCTGACTGTTCAGCACTTCTGTAAACCTATACCTGAGAGTCTCAAGTTCAGCCCTAAGAAAATAAGCAACACACTGTTAATGAAACATTTGCTTAAGTGATTTGATTGGCATCACATAGTAACTCTGTCACAGGAAAGAATAGAGTCTAGTTCTCCTGCGCATTAATGCCTTAATCACAAAACCACTCTTTCTCTTTCTTTAATTCTTTACCACATTCACTATGGGCAAAACTAAGTGTGTGCCCAACTGTGCAGTTGTTACTGCACAGTCATGTAATAGTAACTAAATGACTGCTTTAGGAAGTACTACATGACTGTGCAGTAACCGCAGGTACTGTGAGCCCCAGTGCTGCACAGGTCATTTCCAACCCTACTGTGCAGTAGCAATGACCCTACTGTGCAGTAGCAGTGGTGTCACGGTTCGTGCCCACCAACACTATGTAGCTGTAGGAATGAGCTATATTGCCATAGCTCATCACTATGGCGACATAACGTCTCTTGTAGACACACCCTATGAGTCTTTCCAGCTACTGTAACTGATTGGGCAGGGGCCTACCAACAAGAGCCTTTTTTACTACATCCCCCAAGAATATCATCAGAACAGATTCATTCAGTGCAATGAATAAGATAGGGGTCTTGTGGAAAGAGTGGAATTGATTAAATAATCAAAGGATGTATCATAATACATGTGCTCCAAGGCACCAAGTTTCAGTTCTACAGGAACCTTGACATATAAACATTAAGGTTTATTTTACAGAGTTTGTTGCATATAATTTCCCCTTTTTAAAAAAAAACAAATGGAAAAAACCCACAAAAATGCCAGCATGCACCATCATATGCTAATTGTTGAAACTACAATTTAAACTGAAATTTCCTGAGGACAGGATCTTGCAGCCAATGATGGCTGAAAACACTGAGTGTCACTGGAGAAGGTGACTGGGACAAAATAAAGGGAGGAAACAAGGGCTGGGAAGACAGGTCTGACTAGGAAATTGGGCATGCAAGGGGAGGAACTGAAGTTGGCTGGGCAAAGAGACCAGAACAAGGACTCAGGGAAATGGAGAAGCAACTCGCAGAAGATAAAGCTGAGACTAGATAAAGAGGTTGAAGAGAGACCTGAACCTGGCAGCCAGTGGTGGTAGAGAAATAGGATTGAGAGGGGTGAGAAATGGAGGCTAGAAGTCAGACATATCTGTTGAGGTGTTGAGGGAGAAATTGATTGGGTAAGAAGCCTGAACTGAGCAATGGGGTAGGTACAGATTATTAATGGGAAGATTTAGACATGGGCATAAAACCAATGAGATTGGGAATAGGATATGGAGCCTGAAATGTGACCTGGGACGAAATAGCTAATGAGAATGAGACATGCTGTCTGGGCTGGGTAGGACTGTCTGCTCCACAGCAGGGCTGGCCCCTCCCCTCTGCTTTCTAACCAGACCAGGGGTGGGGCATGGCCAGACACTGGCCAGCCATAGCCCCTGAGGAATATTCCTCCCTCCATTCTCTCTCCCCCATGCTGGCAAACCCTGCATAACACATTTGGGGTTTACCAGCCCCAGCCGCACCTCCATGGCTTTCCTACAGCCAGATAAAGATGGAGTTAATTTCTCCCTCTCTCCAGACTGCCTGCAGCCAGAGTGGGGATTAATTCCACAGTGGTTCTGGAGTGGGAGAGAGAGGCAAGACCTGCACCTGTGAGCTAAGAACAGGGGAGATGCCTTGTTGGACCTGGTGCTGGCCACGGGAGACGACCTGGTGAGGGGGCTGCGGGTGCTCGACCACCTGGGCGACAGTGATCATTGCCTACTAGAATTCACCATCCAGCACAAGGTGGCAAAGGCCTGCAGCAAGGCAGCAGCCCTAGATTTCAGGAGGGTAGACTTCAATGAGCTAAGGAGAATAGTCAGGGAAAAACTGAGGTCCCAAAGGGGAGAGGAGACAGGTGTCCAAGGAGAGTGGTCGCTCCTCAAGGAGACGATCCTCCAAGCCCAGAGAGAGGTAATCCCAATGAGGATCAAAGGGAGCAGAAGGGCACACAAGCCCTCATGGCTCACCAAAAGCATCCGGGAATGTCTCCTAGCTAAAAGGGAG